GAAGTCTGGAACCCATGGGCAGCAGTCTGAGCCTTGATGAAATTCTCTTCCTGTGACCCAGTCTACCCATCTCATCCCTGATTCCGTGCTTCTCTCTAGCAGGGCACAGGCTCCATGCTGGAGTCAGACCAGCTTCTGCGCCAAGTCCAATGCCATCCATTATACAAGGTTGGCTCAGGGCCCTTCCACTGGGAGCCTGCCCCTGGGAGCAGGCCTACCTCATCTTTCTTGGAACTTCTGTAGGTCAGGCCACCTTCCTGCTCTTTACTGTGCACCCACCAGTCCCTGCCTTCCTACCTACAATTCCAGGATGGTCAGAAAGCTGGATTTCCTCCTGTAGCCCCCAGAGCACCAGGCAAGGGGTTGAGCACAATACAGGCTCCCAGCATGTCTGGTGAGGGTTAACTTATCTTGCACTGGGAGATGGCCAAGGGCAGATACAGCTGTGGTAGAGACATGTCTCCAACAACTCCTTCCTTTTTGCCTAACTTAGGACAGAGTTAGGACATAGCACAAATGATTCAGTAATAGCTGCTCTGAATGCATCACTGCTTAACCTGATTGGCCCCCACCCATGGGAGAGAAAAAGACCTTGGCCCGGCAAGAGCAAAGCTAACACCAGGGCATCTCTGACTTGAAGGGGGCGGGGGGCTCTTTTCACGGGCACACCAAATGGGTACAGGGAAGAGGATCTGTGAGGGGCTGAGCAGTGCTGGAGTTGGAGCTGGGCCCTGGTAGAAGAGGGAGGAACAGGCAAAGAAAGGAAGTGAGGAAAAAGGAAGAAAGAAAACTAACAAAAAATCATTGAGAAAGTAGGTAGAAAGTGTGTGGTCTGGACTCCCAGCACTTCCTCTTCTTCTCAGGGTCTTTGCAGCATCCCCTTCCTGCCCCATCATCTTCTTCCTCTCACTGGGCAGGGCCTTCTTTCTGGCATCAGCCAGGTCCAACTTTCTGGGAACTGCCTCCCTGCTGGCCACTGGGCTCCTTCCCTTCATCTCTTCTAGTCACACTTTTGGAAGTCAAGGGTTGTAAAACCAGGTCCCTGGGGAGCCAGCCTCCAGAGAAAATGAATGAGACTGGAGTGGAGAGCTGAGAGGTGGGAACTTTGATCAACTAGATGTCACATGCTTCCGTTGAATGGGAGAGCTACCATATCACATATCCTGTGCACCGAGATGACAAGATTTTTCTTTTTCCCCAAGAGAAACCAGTAATCTGGATTTTATAAAAATCCGTCAATTTTTAAATATTGACTATTTCAAAAATTCTTTAAAACCATGTGGGCGAAAAAAATGTTAGTGGGCCGCCCATAGCCTGTTGGCTGTGCTCTGCAGCCCCTCCCATGCTGCCTACTGCCTTCCCTCCCCTGTATGAAGCATTCCTCAAGGTCACCCTGGTCCCCGGACTCTCCTCACTCCGACCACCTCAGTAACTACTTGGCAAACCCACTATTTCCTTTGTGTCAAGGACTCCTGAAATACCCCTGGCACGACCTTTCTCCTTAGACCCAGTACTGACTCTATTCCAGTGCCTCCCAGCAGGCCACAAAAGCCATGCTCAGAATAATCATAACTAGCATTTATGAAGGTTTACTCCATGCCAGGCCTTGCTAGGAGTTTTATGTAAAAGCCAGAACAGGTTTTCTTTCTTCCCCACAACCTCTGCAAGGACTAAAAGAAAAGAGAGAAACTCCATTGGGGTTCGTATCCTGGTGACTTTTTTTGAAAACTCTCTTTCTTCTGAGGACATTTAATGTTTTGACCAGGCATGTCATGAATCCAGCCACTGTGTCCCCGGCCAGACAACAGAAGCAAAAAGGGCTGACGGTTATGCACTAAGGATCCAAAGAGTGCTTGGTATTATAGAGTAAAATCCACAGGATTTCCCTCCCCCCCCACCCCTTCCCCAACCCAGAAAAGAGCCCAGACTGACTGAGCAGAAAAATGGGTTCAGGAGGACCCAGGAGTCAAGCCTGGACTCTGGTGAGGGTGGGTGAACAGGAGAGGAGGAGAGAAGCAGAGAGGTAAGACCTCTGCCCCACATGCCTACTCAAGATGAACCAATTAGCCAGTGGGGGCTGGCACTTTTGTCAAAGTGAGCCTCTACTGTCTTTATGTGGACACACTGGCTGGATTCATGGGAGGTGCCCAATCACACTTGCCCAAAGCATTTAAGTTTCCTCAAGGACCACTCTCGGAAGAAGGTGGGGTTTTGAAAAAGTCACCAGAATGCCAACCCCATCCCCTGGACTGGGGTTATAAGGGCAGCCAGTCAGCCAGCTGAGGCACAGGAAGGACAACAGCTCAGAAGCAGCCGACTCTGGGTGGGCGAGCCACATCCTTCCTGTTCCCGGTCCTTTGTCAGCTAATGCATGTCCCTTGAGGAGCAGATGGAGAAGGCAGGGAAGCCATCAATCTCCCAGGAAGGACAACACGTCCCTCTGCCAGTCTCCCTGCCTGACTTCCCAATAGCAGAGGCCCTGACCCACAGAACAACACAGAAGTCACAGCGTCAGACAGACAGGTCCAGTGTTATAGCTGGGTTGTGGGATGGGGAGTGAGGAGAAGGAATGACAAGGAGTAAAACAGTCACAGAGACAAAGAGGGGACTCCCCTGCAGCCCCTGAGTCCTGGCCCATATCTCCTTATATCTCATCTATTCTCTCTAGGGTACCCAAATCCAACAGTCATTGTGTGACACCATTGAATGAAGACCCCCAAAAGGACTATCTTTATGCTAATGCCCAGTTCCCATGAATGTGACCTTATTTGGAAAAAGGGTCTTTGCAAATATGATTAATTTAAGGATCTTGAGATGAGATCATCCTGGATTACCTGGGTGGACCCTAAATCCAACAACAAGTGTCCTTAAGAAGAGACAGAGAGGGAGAAGATAGACAGAGGAGAGGTGATGAGAGCTGCAGGCAGGGATGGGAGTGATGCAGCTGCAGCCAAGGGTCATCTGAGCCAGCAGGGGCTAGAAAAAGCAACGGGAGATTATCCCCTAGAGCATTTGGAGGGAGTGTGACCCTGACCCTTGATCCTGGACTCCAGAGTTTGTGAGAGAATAAAAATCTCCTGTTTAATCCCCCTAGTTTGTGGCAATTTGTTACAGCAAGCCCAGGAGACTAATGCAGTCTCAAAGCACAACACATCCTCCTCTCTCCTCTCTCCCAGCCAGCTCCTCCCACTGACTTTCCCTTTTATTTGGGGTACCTCCAGTATCTCCAGCCATCTATGACTTGGCCTTTGTTTTGCATTATAGCCTGGTGATTCCATGTGAAACAGGGCTCTAACATCCTGGCCAGCATAGACCTCTAGGATCAGCTTGTCTGAGCTCCCCCAACACCCAGCACCCCCAGGTAGCCTCTGCAATCCTGGAGGTCTTACTTTCCCACTTCAATGGAGTTCTGTTTCCTTGCGACACAGGTCAGAGCTTTAAGAATGGTGAATGGGTACTGACCCCAACCAGCCTCGGGGGACGCCCCTGAATCCCTCTCTGCCTGACCCAACCACTTCAGATCATCTCCTATGCCCTGAATACCTCCTACACACGAACACCATTCCCTGCAGCAACCACAATTCACCTCTCTGCTGGCCAAAATCCCTACCCAACTGACCTCATAGTAAGCCCATCTCAAAATCACTCACTTCCAAGAAGCCCTCCTGGTTCCTGTTCTACCCTCAACATCCAAGACATTCCCCTTTCTTGAAAGGCATAGAAGAATAAGGGGAGGGAGAAGAACATATTTATTTGGCCCCTCTGAGTGCAGGTAGGCATCTTGTATAGGTGAGATGGCTCCACAGATGTGTAAAGCACATTGCGGGTCCCCAGCAAAGGTTTGCTGGGTGGGTGCCTCTATCCTTATTAAGGACACATAACCCATGCAGCAATGCTGGGAGAGGGTGCCATTAGTCCCATGTCCCATGCAGGAGCCCACAGTGCTGAGAGGTGAAGTAATCTGCCCAAGGTCACACAAAGGACCATGGCTCCAGACCTTGTGTGCCCATCTGCTTTCTCATCAGCTGTCATACTGTCTTGTCCTTTTGCTTTCCTCACAGTAAGATTCTCCAGGGCAAGGGTGGGTCTTGTTTGTCTTTACATTCCCCAAAGCACTTGGCGCAGACCTACTCATGGTGCCAAGGACACACACTATCCTGGGGGCCCACAGCTCATATCACACACTGGAGGCACCAGCTTTCAAAAGAAGGCCTCCTCAAATGCTCAGCACTCAGTAGGAAGGATGGGTTTCCCACAGTGTGCCTGCAAGGAAGGGCCTCCCTTAAGCACAGGGATTCCTGCCTCAGATTTTTATGCCTGAAATCACAAGGTGCTTGTTACTTACAGTCACAATGCCCTAACCCTTTTCCACTGTCCTGGATTGGCTTAAGCTAATATTCCTCAGAACTTCCCCTAGCCCTTGTGGGCCCCAGATCAACCACAAGCGTGCTGATACAGAGAGGATGTTAATACCTGCCAGGGCGCCAGCTTTCATCTCTTCTCTCTCTCCATCCTGTGTTCTGTGCACCCCCTGCCTCCAAACAGAGCCGCAAATGATCAGGCAAAACCACACTTTGTCCGTGGGGCAGGGAGGGGAGGCTGCACTGTTGGAAGCAGACTCCAAATAGCACAGACACACTGGCTTGATGGGGAGGGGAGGAGGCTGGGACAGAACCAGGGAGTAGACACAAAGGAAAACAATGTGGAAACAAAGTCCTCCCTTAGCCACACTCCTGGCCTCCTCCCAAGTTCCCCCTTTCACAGAAGAACTGGGATGAATGGAACTAAATAAACTGCAGGCACCCAGCAGCCACCTTCCTTTTGATCAGTGGTGGGGAACAAAGAGAGACCAGCTCAGCTCAGAAAGACACCAGGGTGTCTTTCAGGCATGTGCATGAGGGAAGATGAGCTCCCCCCCCCCCAGGACATTTCCATGGCCACAGAAAGGACAGTTATGCCACCTCAGCCACCTCACCTCAGCCACCTCACCGGTCTCTTACCCACATCCTGGCTTCCTGGGATTCTGGTCCCCACACAGCGAAATCCCAGACTGTTCCACCCCATCCCCTGGTAGTACCTGACACAATGCTTGGGCTCCAGCTGGGCTGTGGAAGGGGTGGGGAGAAGGGTGGCGCAAGGGAGAGGGATGGGGAGAAAGAGAAGCTCTTGGGGCCTCCTACACACACTCTCTCTCTCTCACTCTCTCTCTCTCTCTCTCTCTCTCTCTCTCTCTCTGTGCGAGTGTGTGTGAGAGAGAGTGTGTGTGTATGTGTGTGTGTGTGTGTGTCTGCAAAGATCTAAAAACCACTTTCATCTCAATAAAGGGGAACAAGAGACACAAAAGCAAAAGGGAGGCCAACCCAGTTGTAAAAAAATTAAGAGCTTGTGGTTGACTTCTTTGCTTGTGCTCTGCCGCAGGGACCTGGACTGAACAATAGAGCCAGGCCTCTGCCTGCCCTCCCATACCAGTTAGTCAGAGCAAACCAGTTCTCCTTTCGGGAAAGCAAAGGGCCCAGACAGTAAGGCAGGAACAGTCAGCAAAATTGCTCTGAGAGTTATCTGTGACTATACAGAATCACACTCCCTGTGAATTACACAACGCAAAACAACAATAACAACCTACAACCACGTCAATTTCCAGCCACAGGGATGGAGTGATAAGGAACAATGCATATGCTCTGCCAAGGCTGTGCCTAGTACATAGTAGGTGTCCAAACAATGCCTGCTGAATGCATGAACCCTTGACTCATACATGCATCAGGCTGGGGTGGGCAGCAAGCAATCACCGACAGTCAAGTTCAAATGGACTTACTCCCAAGGTCGCCCAGAAAGAAACAGTCTAAAGTTCTTCAGCTAAGAAGAGTTTAACAGTTTGTAGAGGCTTAGAGTTCAGTAGCTAAGGAACCAAACTCTAGAATCAGATGACCTGGGTTTGAATCCTGGTCCTATCACTTGTGGCAGTAATACCTACTTCATGCCATTGTGCATATCATGTGAAGTGGCACACACAACCACAAGGCAGTGCTTTGTAAGTGACATTGCTTGGCGCTGGTATTGATGAAAAGGTCAGGTCTTTCTTCAATTTGTTCAAATCATCCTTGGTTGCATCTTAAGTATTCCTCTGGGGAAATGGGGGTGACCAACACCCCTCCTGCAGCTCCTCTGGAAGCCTGGGAACAATGACTAACTTGTCTCCTCCTTGACTTCTAATGGCTCCAGGGGCTGACACATGAGAGGAGGAATTTTGGCGACCTAAGAAGCTCAGCAGCAACCTGCCTCCCTCCAGTCTGGCAACACTGACACTGGCAGCTCCTCCACTAGATTCTGAGCACCCAGCACCAGGGGAAGATGCTACATGAATGACTGCTGAATGAATGAATGAATGAATGGAGTCAGGACTGGGAAAAGAATCTCACTGCCTTTACTCCCAGAAACAGGAATCTGAAATTCCTGGAGTAGAGTAGGAAGCCCCAATGAAGTAACTTCTAGATTCCTTCTCCCTAGGATATACCCTGGAGTAAGAAAAGCAAAGTGTGAACAGTGGCAAGTGCCTTGGGGAATGTGACATAATCCCTTCCAGAAGCAGCCCTGGAGACAGAGACAGTCAGGCCTCTTTGGTCTGAACCAGCCTTCAACTAACTGCAGGCAGACTCACTGCCAATGTTTACCAAGAAAATGGCCCAGGAATGAACCCTGACATGTTTGACCCCTAGCTGCCTTGTCCCTGACACTCGACTTCTTGCTCAAGAGTCTTGTAGAAATGAAAGATAAATAGGATTACAGAGTTTGATACAGATGAGGTAAGAGGAGGACCACAGAAGTTATTCTTGGCAGAGTAACCAGTAATTCTCCCTTTCAAGAGACAACTGAACAAGCCTCACAGCCTGGCACTCTACAGGAGGGTTTAGTAAATTACAACTACTATATCTCATTTATTGAGTTTTAAACATTATGCAAAATGCTTTTTGTGTATCATTCTCACATTAAACCTGGAGGTAGGTTCTTATCTCCATTTTACAGATAAGGAAACCAAGGCATAGAGGTGAGGCCATTAACCCAACATCACAGAACTAGGATTTGAATTCAGGTCTGAGTTTCAAGCCTTTGAAGCCTACCGGCTTCCCATGATGCTCTACTGCTCAGTTGCCTGGTATTTGTGCATTATTAGACAGGTACCTAAGAATTTTCCTCCGTTTACTGTTTAGGGAAGGGGTAAATGACAATTCAGATGAAACATAAGCATGAAGCAGGGAGTTAGACCTAATGAACTTATGAAGCTCCTTCTACCTAATGAACTTATGAAGCTCCTTCTACCTATTGAACTTATGAAGCTTCTTCTATGCTCACACCCTTTCCTAATCAGTTGCAGAGCTTCTCTGCAACTGATTAGGAAAGGGTATGAGCATTCCTTTAACATTAGGTGGCACATATATGTTGGGGTGAGGCCTCAGGGAGAAAGTGGCATGGGTGCACCTGGGGCAGCACACGGGGGTGGGACCCAGGCAGCCCCTGCTCTCCTGCCCTCCAGCTCAGGCATGCTGCATCCCCTGACTTCTCAGGGACTTTGAAACAAAGTCTTAGCAAACAAAGAATGTTTTCGTAAACTTCAGGTAGGTGCCTTGACTGCTGCTAAGAGTCTATTGAAATAGGCTCCCATGAGAACAGTGTGTTATGAGCACATGGTTCTACACCAACAGTCAGGGCCAAAGTTATGACAGCACCCTCCCTTTTGGTTTCATAAAAGTTGGGAGGGGACTCTCCTGCATCAGCTTCGGAAATGATCTAGAAGGGAGAGAAAGAAGCAGTAGCCCAGGACAGCTTAAAAGCTGAGCCCTTCCTCCCAGGCAGTGAATGTCCCACTGTGTTTTGCACCTGGAAGTGAAGCATCTGGTAACTGTGGACTTTGTGTTTTTCCTAGAGATTTCCATCTGAGGATCTAAAAGTGCTCTGAAAATACTAGCTGATATTGGTGCTACTGTACCCATTAGGCAGATGAGAAAAGTGAGGGCTGTCTGTTAATATCACAGAGTGAATCACAGGAGGGAACCAGATGGCTCAAGCCTAAAGCTGGTGGTCTGCCTGCTCTCTACCTTTGACACTTCAACTTCGTGGAATTCTTTATGTTACATTTATGTTTACTGAACTGATGTCTAGTAGAGGCGTGAGGTGACAGGAAAAGTCTAAGTTTCTGGGAAACAGCTGATCTAGCTTTGAATCTCATCTTTGTTGTTTTCAGTTTGGGAAAGTCCCTTGACCTCTCTGAGCCTGTTCCTTCATCTGTAAAACTGGGATAATACCTACCTTGAAGGGTTGTTGTGAGGAATACAGATATATGTAAAATCCCTAGGATGGAGCTTTGCTTAGAGCAGGTGCTCAGTAAATTAAGCCATTATTTTTTTAAAAGACTTCCATTTTTATGAATGAAAGGTGATGTCAGTTAATTTGGGGACCAGATTTGTAAAGAGAATCATAATCTGCAAATAGTCTTCTCTGCTAACAATACTCTAATTTTCATTTATAACCCTGAAAAAACTAGGTTCACAGAAAAAGTAGGACAATGACTTTAGCTACCAACTGGGCATAGTGGTTACACCTGTAATCTCAGCATATTGGGAGGCCAAGGCAAGAGGATCACTTGAGTCCAGGGGTTTGAGACCAGCCTAGGGAACATAGCAAGTTCCTGTCACTACAAAAAAAAAAGCCGGTGTGGTGATGCATTCCTATATTTCCAGCTACTCAGGAATCTGAGGTGGAAGGATCACCTGAGAGATGAGGAGGTTGATGTTGCTGTGAGCTGTGACTGTGCCTCTGCACTCTAGTCTGGGCAACAGAGAGAGACCTTGACTCAAAAAAAAAAAAAGAAAAAAACTTGAGCCAATGATGTGCTGGGCATCAAGGGAAGCATCTGAAGTTTGCCCAGCTGCACAAAGTAAAAACTTTGATCAGATACCCTCAGGTGGAAAGATAAGGCAATTCCTGCTCTGAAACCTCTGTAAAGCAAGACCTTCTATATCATGTAGTTTTCCACTTTTCTTCAGGATGAGTTCTCCTTTTCCTGCATCTTTCATCCCTTGAGCTGAAATTTGGCAGCCGTTGCTTAGGAATTTCTGTCTAAAGGAGGGCAACTAGCATCACCTTATAAGAAGTGGCTGAAGCCATAGATCACCAAATTAAGAGTATCAGAATTGCCAAGTGAGTTCAGTCTTCCCCAGGTGGGACAGGGTGGACACTCATGGCTGTCTTCTCTGACACCACTTTCAAAATATCAAGTATATCTCAAACACCTCCAACTGAAGGTATTCCGTGGATTTGATTTAACCACTGGGCAAGGTGAACTATGCGACCAGATTTCTAGCTCCTACCTCTTGAGACAGTGGGTCCCATATGTTTCTCCTCTCTGTGTATTCAATAAGCCTCAATGAGACCACTGAATCCTTAGCACAGTGCCATGCATATCATACATGCAAAATATCTGCTCAATCCATAAGTAGACCCCATCGTAAAAGCGTGAGCATCCTAGTTTCTTACTTTCTTCTGGGGATGGGAGTGAAGAAGGGAAAGCCATTTTTTCTTTTGGCCCTATCACTACTCCAGCCTGCCCTTTTCTTCCCCTCCTCACAGATCTAAGTTGCAGGAAGCCCCCTCTGTAAGAAGTCCCCTCAGAGAACTAAAAGAGACTGTGGCTGTCAGCACTGGGCTCTTTACCCTCAGTAAAACCAAGACCTAAAGAACCACCACCAACTGACTCATAAAACTGACAACTGACTCAAAACTGCAGCCTCCCTCTTCCCCATGCCCTCTCCAGACTCATCCTGTCCTCAGCCTCCAAGAAACACACCTGTGGATGTCACACCTTCGGTGTCCCTTCCCTTCAACATGTGTCTTACAGTTGAGGTTGATCCTTCTCCTGTCTGCCTTAATGTGGAGGTGTTGCCTTGGGCAACAGTGATGTCACCTGCAAGGTCTTCCATTCCACTGATATCACAGGGTGGGTCATGGGGTGGGCCATATGGATGAAGGGGGAATTTGCTCTCTGCAGGGCAAATATCACATGTCCCGAACCATTGAGGAGAGGACTATAGGCCTCTTGGACACTACCAA